CAGAACAGCGGTGCCGACAGTGAAAAATAATTTTCAGCTGGAAGTTTGCCACAACTGGTGTGGCTTTGCCAGCGGGATCTGATTAGTATTCGTGAGCTCTCCGTAGCATCTGTAGGAAATGCCCAAATGACACAAAGCCAATTCTAGTGGCAGAGATTTAACATTTTAACCCAGTCTCTCTAACACACTTAACCCGTGATGAAATGCTGCTCAGGCATCTTTTCACAAGCTATCTGAGGCCTCAGCAAGCAGACCCTTTACACAAACACATGGGTATTTACCTTTGCTGAGCCGGGCCAGGGGTCCAACATGCCTCCTCATAGAGTGGATTGCTACCCGCACTGCTGGTGGGATAGAGAACTGGGTGTATTTTTTCCCAGACTTGAGTGGACCAGGGCCAAGGTTATACGTGCAAATATCTTAACATGCTCTCCCTGTATCTGCCCTCTGCTGACACAATCCCACCATTTTAATACATCTCTATAGTAGACTTTCCATTTTGGGCAGAATTAACAGTGATACCACATATAAACACATTCTCTGCCAGGCAAATCCTAGGGTAGGTTTCTTAAAAGACTCTGGGAAATCTTGTGGCCAGCAATAATATTTACATTGCAACCCAGCAATCCTGGTTCACAGGGTAGGGGCAGTGGTGGCCAAGAAAGGAATTATCTTCTCCATATTCAGTTGTCCACAAGTCTCAAGATAGCTAGCAAGGATTTTGAGCTCAGTCGATCCTGCAGGAATTTCTCCTAGGCACAGGGGTAAGATTAACCCTTTAAAATGTTCCTTCATGTCAAGACAATCTGTTTGTATACATTTTTTTTTCAGTAGTAATTTTTGCTCCTAGAAGAAAATAGTTTCTCTGGAATCTTGCTTGTCCCTCTTTCTTCACAAACTCAGTCAAAGTTTGGGGAATTTTCGCTCAGCATTTGACTCACTGCCACTCTGAAAAAGAACTTACTAAAGTGATAGAAAAAGAACATTACAGAACACACTCTAGCAAGGGATTTAAAAATCAGCATTTAGGGGCTGGAAGATGGCTCAGTGGCTAAGAGAACTGTCTGCTCCTGCAGAGGACAATTCCCAGCACCTACATGGCAGCTCACAACCATCTGAAACTGCAGTTCCAGGGAATCTAGCGCCCTCTGCAGGCACTAGACATGGAAATGGTGCATATGTGCATGCAGGTAAGACTCTCATACACATAAAATTCTTTTAAAAATCAGTATTTAGGCCGGTTGTGGTGGCACATGCCGGTAGGATTTGCTGAAGGAGGTGGAGGCAGGAGGATCACGAGTTCGAGGCCAGCCTGGAAAAAAAAAATCAGTATTTAGAAGTTAAATGTCACATGGTAGTTCAATTATATATAGCACTCCACTAACAGATTAAAATCAGTATGTCACTTCGACATTTTTTAATATAGTAAATAAAATAAAATAAACTTCTAGGGTTTAAATCCAGTAGGCTTCCTACCCCTATTTCCTGAACATGAGTACGGGCATGGCACCTAAGAGGGCCAGGGTGAGCCTACAGCAGGGGAGAGATCAGTGCATTCTTGGCTCTGTGCACGGACCCAGTGCACACATGGTATTTTACTTTTCAACACTTTCTAGGTCAAACTTGAGTCTGTGAGGAAAACAATCTTAGAGACACTTGCTTTGTTAAGACCTGTTATAGGTGTTTTTTTTTTTTAAATTATATAGTTTTGCCTAAGCCCTAAGCCTAACTTTTTAAAATGACCTATTACTTTGAGGGACATGGGAAGAGCCTAAAGCAGGCTAAAAGTAATAAGAATGTAATGTTTTATAAAATGTGATCACTTCCCCTCTCATGGACCCGTGTGGCTATCTGGGGAAGAATTAAACTGACAAGAAGCACTTATTTGCAAAGACCACTTTTCAAAACAAGTTGATCAGAACATTCTAGATGCCCATTTCTCTGGAATCTTACTTTACATGCACTTTAAATTGGACTTCCTCGTAACCGCTCTGTTGAGAAAAACATTCCTTAAAAGCTTTGTATGAGTCTGAGAAAAACTCAGCAGCATACAAGATCCTGTTGTTAAGCCAATCACAGCTGCCTGTGTTCTCCGATTATTTCATTGTTTGCAGAAAGATGATTATCCTGGACTGTAAAACCAACCTTGAAAAGTAGAGATAAAGAGTTTCTCAGTCTTGCTCAGGGGTGTTGTGTTTCCATGGTGATGAAACCAGCTCTTGATACCAGATTAACCAAGGTGATCCTGGGTTTCCCACTTCACTTCCTCATTCCACATACCAGGGAGCCCACAGAATGGAGAGGGAGAGCCAGAGGTCAGTGGTACTCCTGAGAGCTGGACAGAAAACCGCCAAGAGGCTCGGGGGCTGGTATCAGTCTGCCAACGCTGGCTGATGTTGTTTTACATCTATGGTAGTCTGCTTTACACAATGCCTTTAATAAAAGTTCAAAAGCAGGTTTCTTTACCCAGTTTCCACACCATCTAGATAAACCCTAAATCTTGCTGCTAACTTCCCCTCTTTCTAGAAATTCCATGTTCACTAAATCTTTGCATTTCTCAAAACTGTATGACCCAGTTGTCCAGCTTACCAACACCCGAACCCACCTTCTGAACTCACACCCTGGGTTGGCCTGTGCTCTGGCCCTCATCTCCTGAATTCAGCTGTCTACACCCTTGATGAACATGTTATTATACAGGTCACAACAACAGCGTCCAATCTTGTGTGTCAGAATTGTCCTGTGGAGTGCTGGGCTCCGTCCAAGATGTATGGAGCCAGGATGCATTTTTAATAAATCTATTGATGCTGCGGGTTTGGGGGTCAATGAAATATAACTGTATGTCCATTCTTTCTTCATGTCCCCTACAGGAATCTGCATCCATTTAAGTGTATAGCGTGTGTTGAGGTAGGATAATCGAGTATATACTAACATATCTGTCAGGGTCCATTGGAGTGCAGAGTGCTAGGTCCCAGCCTAGCTAAGTCTACCAAATCTGAATCTGGGGGGTATGGCCTGGAAACTGATCAAGTTCCCTTCCACTCCTAGACACTCCCACAGGAGAACCACTGATCTTTTAGGAGTCAAACTGGAATCCTTGATGGCCCAGACATCAGGCAGACTGGGTGGGAGAATCCCACGGGAAGTGAATCCCTTTCACAGGGGAAGCCACTCCTTTACAGGTAGCTTGTTGCTATTTTGCATCCTGGCATTGTCAAAGCTTTAAATTTTTTAGAAGCTAGACATGAGGGGGAATTTAGTTTCCCATGATTCAAACAACGAGTACATAAACAGCAGCCACCGCTGTCTCGTGCCCTGTGTCTTTGAGGGTTTTGCCCGGTATAAATGAGATCTCTGGAAGTTGCCAGCATAGAACACCATAAGAAGACTGACCAAGCGGCTCCCCGGGATGAATTACGGAGAATCAGAAAAGGATGACATCCTCTGCCCTTCAGGTTTCCTGCCTGTACCAACCGTATCTGGATGCAGTCAGGAGGTCTCCACGAGGGCAGCCGGCGGCACCACAGGGCCTAACTAGTGAAGTTACTCTTTCCTGCCATTCTGCCAAGCGTTGCTTTCCTACTTTCTCGATGAACTTCAGCCACTGAAGATGGAAACACGGGTGTCTGCCTTCACCCTTAGCCCTTCTTCAAACCCCCACATTGGCGATTACCTACCAAGTCTTGCTAATTCCACCACTAACAGAAATGGTGAGCAATGGGTTCCATGAAAGGCCCTGGCTCAAGGCAGCAAGGCAAAAAGCAACAGAAAAGGGCACCTGACATCTTTCTCTGGTCTCTACATGTGTACACATGAGCATCTGTGCCTGCACAGTCACACGTACGCACCACAGGCACATAACATACAACCATGCCCAAACTGAAAAGAAGAATCCTTCTAAGGGCTGAGGCCTGCTAAGTCTTTGGCTGAGAGTTGAGCTTATTTGGAAGAACACAATTTTTTAAAAGTGAAGTTCTCGCCTAGGCTTTGGACACTTGTGTGAAGTTCAGGACTCTGGAACTGGCTGCTGGTGTGACTGTCCTCCAGCAGCCACTGCCCTCTGGGGTCCACCACTGCCTTAACTGTACACGGCTTCAGGGAGGGGCTAGGGCATAAAGGCTGAGGAAGGCCAGAGGAAGGGGCTCCGTCTGTGGGGCTCCAGGACAGCCATGATTCCTGCAGCATGAGTCTTTCTAGGTACAGCCTTTGCTGGAGGGGCGCCGACCCCCCTGTAGTAAGCCCTCACCTGTGCTTTGTAAGGGAGCCTACTAAACTCATTGGCTCCTCAGAGTGAACTTTGGGGGGGATCACGCCTCCATTTGTGACCAGGGCCCTGGGAGGACTACATGTTGTTTCTGTCTCCCCAACAGAAGGAATTTTAGCAACACTACCCTTTAATAAAAAAAATCTCCAAGAATGGATCAGGCAGGCCCCCGTTCACATTGAAAGGGAAATAGGGATTGAGGGGGCCTTAAGAAGACAAATGGTTCCTGGAGTCATGCTCCGAAAGTCTTTTCTCCTGGAATTCCTGACCACGGCCTCTCTCAGAACCCATGTGTGGATCTGGAGGAACTCCATCCAAGCAGGACTCCCAGCAGTAAGGGAGGCCAGCCAGGGATACAGCAAAGCTCACAGAACCCGGAACACCTCAATAACTTCTTTTCCAACGTCAGAGCAACCACAGCTGAGACTACGAATAGTCATTACCCACATAAGAAGCACAGACCCTAAGAGGGAAACTTCTAGTTCCTTCACACAGCGTGCCCCATATCAATGTGTCGTTTTGGCATCTTCAAAGGACTTATAACAAGAAAAACAAAAGCTGAAGTAGTTATTAAGCATCTCAAAAATCTAACAAAGTCAAACTCCTTTCACACTATTGTTAAAAGAGAAAACATTTTATTGAACAAAACAATGGATTACAGGGTAAACCTGGACACTTTAACAATAAAACTTTTGTGTAAGAACATTTCAATGAAATATAAAACAACCACACCCATCCCCGTTCCCAACAGTTGCTCTAACACCCCGTAGGAAGAAAGGACAAAGTGGAGATCTGTGGGTCTGTAACTAAAGATCCAGCAAGGAAAGTGCCCCTCTTAGCTCCCCATTCCACTCACATGGTTGCAAAATGCAACCAAAAGCATATTAACTTATTCAGTCACCAACCGGAAAAGCAGACACTGCTCCCAACGCCCCTGGATATTTTAGTTCGGGCAATGAATGAAAAGGGGGCTCTTTAAAATGCCAAATCTAGACAAGACAGCAACTAGAAATCAGTGACAGAAATAAGCAGGCTGCAAGATCTGTGCTTGGTGGCCTGGGGGCATCAACACGCCTTCCTGGTCTTAGCTGTTCACACCCGCATGGTCTTCTTGGTGGTATGATTTTTCACAAAGGGAACAATAGTTTTTGGTAGAACAAGTGAGTGTGGGGTCACTCGGGCTACTGCTGCTTATAGCTCTCTGGCCAGGAAGTCCCAGCATGGATGAAGATGCCTGAGACACAAGGCTGTCAGTGTCATTCACTGTCTTTCTATGCATCTTTGGAAGATTCTAGCACATTCATCAGAAGGCAGAGTCAGCAGCTTTCAAAAGATCTTTCTTTGTCCCTTCTTCCTGAACTGAACAACCGAGCCCAGCACATGGTCTAGACTATGAGCCTCAAACATGGATTGTCAATGTGTCCCAAACTGTCGCCGCAAAGGAGGGCGACATCCCCTTTAGCTGAAGGCTAGCTCATTCTTACTCACAGTCACAATGCATTTCTGTATCACGAAGTAGTTTATAAAGCCAACTGGGGTCTTCAGGCATCTAAACCTACGGGTTTTCCAATATTTATTCTCTTAAAAGTAATTGTTTTCTTGAGGCTGGGGGAACGACTCATCAGGCCCAAGCGGCTGCTGAGAAGCCTGACGATCTGAGTCTGAGTCTTGGAGCCCACGGAAGATGCCGGATGAGGGAGTGAGAGAGCCGGCCGGAAGCTCCTGGCCTGGAGTGCACTGTAGCAGAGACAAGGGAGACTGCCTCAACAAGGAAGAAGTGAGAAGCAAGAAAAGCTGTCCTCTGACTTCCACATGCACACACACACACACACACACACACACACACCTTTGAAAATCAAAGCAAAATAAAATACAACAAAAATAATTATTTTCTTATGAAAATTCTACTGCAAAAACATACACAGTAATTACATGTCTCAACAACTAAAAACTAATCAGGTGTGTGAGCCTATAGGTCTCAATGAGTCAGGTTCAGGGTGTGAGTCTGTAGTTCCCAATGTGTCAGGTTCAGGGTGTGAGCCTATAGGTCTCAATGTGTCAGGTTCAAGGTGTGAGCCTGTAGTTGCCAATGTGTCAGGTTCAGGGTGTGAGCCTGTAGTTGCCAATATTTTGGGGTGGTTTAAGCAGAAGGATCACTTGAGCCTAAGAGTTCAAGATCAGAGCAGACAATAAGGCAGGATCTCATATCAGCCAGTCATCCATCCATCCATCCATCCATCCATCCATCCATCCATCCATCAGGACTGTTGCATCATCTTTAACTTGTCTTGGCCTTCCTATTCTGACCATTACTGGCACTATTAAATCTGTGATACCCTCATATTTTAAGTTTTCTCTGTAATTCCTTTTGAGATGTCTTTCTCACAAGTGCATCTTGGGACTGTCACTATTATTCCTGTTTCATAGATGTCACATAGAGATGACACCACTCTGCTTAGAAGGGTTGTATTAGGTATCATTAGACCATGGCTTTTAAGTACACAGAATATATGACTCAGTTAAGGTCTCCACAAAAGACTTCACTGTTTATGCTGATCCATCCACCTGGAACACTCTTCCCTTGCTCATCTCTGACTCAAGACCCCCTGTGTGGCTAATTCTTTGTCTCTGGATCTTGGCTTAGACAGTAAGTACCTCTCCAGGGGTCAGCAGTAACTGACTTAACTATATGTTCTCTTCCTACATGCTCCAACCCATATCGCAGCTACCTGCTTCTCTGGCTGTATCCCCAAGACATTTCATGAGTGTGAGCATCGTGTCTCTGGACATTACATTCCCAAAAGTGCCAGTAAGCACATGCCAGAGCATGAGGGTACCCAAGGACTGCTGTATAAAAACTGGTGTCTGAACTAAGCCTAATGGTGAATGAGGGATGGATTTCCATATAGTGAGGGTAACCACTGCAACTGAGACAACAGAAGCAGTTTTGGGGTCAGCTGAGAATGAAGATAGAGGAATGGGCTGTAGTATCTTAAGAACTCTGAGGGGGGCAGGGAGGGACAACCAGATCCAGAAGAGATGGATTCCACTTGGTCACCTAATGCTAGTCTAGCTAGGCCATACCCAGATTCACGACACTAGACCTCCAGATACCAGGCCTGCAGCATGGAGACCAAGGGCCTGGGTAACTGCAGCAATTACCCCATCCAGACCGAGTGACTGAGACATTGGCACAGCTCCTGGGGTGCAGACTATGAGCTTTGAGGCCAGGCCACTAACGGCCACATGCAGCTACCAGCTGGCGAGGATCCAGTCTGGCTCACAGACCCCAGAACACTTACCAGGTAACTGGGACCAGCTGCCTGTGTTTGGCAAAGCACGGAACTGCAGTGCTGAGGAAGGAAGTTGGAGACACTGGGCACAGCGGACGGTAAATAAATGGAAATGTTCTGATTTGTTCTGGCAGCCGAATCACGGGGAAGGACAGCCCCGGGACAGTATGTGACGGCATGGCAGGAATTAAGCGAGAGTGCTGCACTGGAGACTCGAGTTTTAGAGAGATCCTCAACAGAGCTCTCCGGAACAGAGCTTAACTGGCCTGCAACAAGAAAGGAAGCAGGTGTCTGTGAACACTGGGCTCAGTTCTGTGACTCTGAACGACAGCGTGTGAAAGACATGGTCCTGGTATCCCTTCCCCACATCACACAGGTGGACAGCTTTTACACTTAGACACTGATGGAAAAATAGAGTGCCATTCCTGGAAGGACATTTAACGTAACATGACCGTGGTGTGTTTACATTCGTGTATCACAAGAGATCTTAGAAGACAGGCAGATCTCTGTGCCTTTTGGTGTGTGTGTGTGTGTGTGTGTGTGTGTGTGTGTGTGTGTGTGTGTGTGTGTTATGTGGTGTGTATGTCTACCACTGTAACCAAACTGACCATCTGTCCTGGTTAGTTTTATGTTAACTTGACACAAGCTGGAGTCATTTGGGAAGAGAGATAATAAAGAAAATTCTTTCAAAAGGCTGGTAAGTCCACAATATATTTTCTTGATTGACATGGGAGGGCGCAGCCCACTGTGGGTAGTGCTGCCCCAGGGCTGGCTGGCAGTCCTGGGTTTATGAAAAAGCAAGCTGAAAAGCCAATAAACAGTGTCCTCTGCTTCAGTTCCTGTCTTCAAGTCCCTGCACTGGGCTCTTGCTTTGACTTCACCCGATAATGAACTGTAGAGCTGTAAGATGAAATAAACCCTTTCCTCCGAACACTGATTTGGGGCATGGTCTTTTACCACAGCAATAGAAACCCTAACTCCATTCCTATAAGGCCAGGAAGGATGTGAGAAAAGCAAAAGAACACAAACAAATCCAAACTACATCCAGTCCCAAAGGAAGGTTTGGCTGATCTCTTTCTTAGGACTGAAGTGGGTTAGGCCATCACAGTTATAGTTTAGTTCTACGCAGCAGCTAGAAGACGAAGATTCTTAAAACACATAATGTTTTCAAAATAATCTCCAGGGCTGGAGAGATGGCTCAGTGGTTAAGAACACACCCCACTCTTGTAGAGGTCCTGAGCTGAGTCTTCAGCACACTCAGGACTCTAAGGATATGGCACTCGGAGGCCCTGGCTGGTGGGCCAAGGTGTCCTGCGAGTCATGGAAACATGCCATGCAGATGCAGTGGCCCCGGCCAGTGCATGGAAAGTCACTCACACCCCAGGCACTGCATCCTCGTGGAGAGAGGATTTCTTAATAGAAAGATAGAGAGAATGATAGGGAAAGAGAGAAAGGAGGGAAAGCGGAGGTGTGTGCCCCTCGTGGCGGGGGAGGAAGGAAGGGGTATGGGGAAGGGAGGGGTTTCTCTTCGAGGCTTTTACATAAAACGATGTCAGGACACTGGGTGGTCCCAAGGGCAGGTTCAGAATGCTAACAACGACCCCCTCTAAATATAATTAAACAGTAATGCGTATGGTCAGTTATTTTTCAAATAGGCAGTGACTAAATTGAGGGTTCCTGACTCATTGACCTTCCAGATCTCTTCGGGTTTGCATATCCCATAAGTCCACAGTTCTAGTATAGCTGTGTCTTTCCCAGCGTGGTCTCTCTGGGTGATGGGATTCCACAACATACTCAAGCACAGAAAAGCCTGAACTTGTAGCCATCAACATGTTTTGTTTTGTTTTAACAGAACAGCGTTGTATGTGAAGATACATAACAGGCGTTGTTTTTACATAAACAGTATTGTGTGCAATGATATATCCTTAACAGGCATTGGGTATAGCCTCGCCTATCTGACCTAATCTGGATCACTTTAATCATCCCATGTGACACTGAGCCACAGGCACTTACTGCTGCTTGGGGTGACTTTTTTTTCTCCCTATTTTCCTCCCTTCTCCCCAGGTCAAGAGAAAGGCCTGAAGAGACCACAGAAGTGATCTGTATTCTTTCCTTGGCTTCAGGACCAAGTGGGGGACTGTGTTCTCTTTGGCCCCTTCTCATGTCTTTAGACACAGCTGTAGGAGCCTATTTGTCCCAGAGCTCCCCTGATCCCCTAAACTTGTATGTGGTGCATCTGTCCTGCACTTGAACACACTGGGTAGACCAGTTTGCTTCTGTGATCCTATCTGCCACGGAGTTCCAAGAGCCACACGAACAACTACTGCATCTCCTCTATCCGAGTTTCCCCATCTCTGAGGCAGGGATGCCAAGCAGAGTACCAGAGCTCAGGCTTGCAATTAGTGGGCAGAGTGATGGCCAAGGATGTTCCCAGCACAGCGGGATGCTTTGACAGCACAGTTCCTTAGAGGAAGCAATCGGAAGACTCATGAAAGACTGGAAGCTGAGGAGAGAGGCATCCCTGTCACTCAGTGCCAGCCACTCAGTCTAGATTCCACTTTACTGTCTCCTCCATGGGAAGCAGCCTCCAGGGACACCAAAGGTCACACACTCGCCCTCTTTGGCTTTGGCTCTGTTCCTTCCCATCCTATTCCCGTAGCTATGTGGGGATGCCTGGGCTTGCACAGAAATATAACAGAAACGCCTCTGGAAGGAGGGTTGCATGTGTCCACATGGGTATCTGTAGTCTATGTATTTCTTGACCACCACTGCTCTAGGCACTAAAAATATAGCAATGAATAAAACAGGAGGGAAAACCCTCTGCCTTTGTGGGGCTGGCATAATAACAGGAGAAGACAGCCAAAAAACAAAGCATAGGTGTAGTGGGTAGCCATTCCAGCTTTGATCTGGAAGTTCCAACCCCTACTGAGGCTTCGGTAACTGTCATGCCTATAAGGCGGGGCCAAGAGAGGACCCTGAAGACCCGAGATCCTTGCGCTCTTGGTTCCTGGACCCTGGACGCTAGAGGTAGACCAAGCAGAGTTCTCCCGAGAACACTGCTGGACTGCGCTACATCTTCCCCAGACCCTGTAACCTACCTATTCCTTCATTTGTAAGTTACGCCACTAATAAACCTCCCTTTTAACTACATGGAGTGGCCTTAATAATTTCACCAATACATAGGAATGAAGGGCATTAGCAGGCAAAGAGTACCAAGAAGTCAAATCCAACCGAGACAGTGGGTAAGGGTGTCCTGTAATGTGTGCAGCAGGCAGGAATGAGGAGCTTTAACTAGGTGGTTGAGGACTCAGACTAGGTGACCTTTAAACAAAGACTTGAAAGAAGTAAATAAATTAACATTCTAAATGCTCAGTACAAAGCCAGCACTGGATTCATATGAGCACACTCAGTCCTCTATATCCTTGAGCTGGCATTTCAACCATGGATTGAAAATATTAAAAAAAAAAAAATCAACAACAGTGAGTCTATAGAAGACATAGACAGACTTTGTTCTTTAAACAATACAATGTAACAACTATTTGTGTGAATTTACATTGTATCGGGTGTCATCCAATCCACCAAAGATTTCAAGTAAGCAGGAGGATGCAAATGATATTCCATTTTATAGAAGGCACTTGAGACTCTGAAGATCTGGTGTCAGCTGAGGGACTTAGAACCAATCCTCTGTGGGTACCAAGAGAAAACTATGCTTCATTTTAGATTTCATTTCTATAAGAAATAAATTCATCAATATACTTATCATCTAATAGCAAGATACACTTTCTGGCAATTATGGTCAATTTTGAGGCAGTTTATATTTTTTTTATTTTATGTGTATGAGTGTTTGCATACATTTATGCATGTTTATCACATGCATGCAGTGCCTGCAGAGCCCAGAAAGGGCAGTGGGCCCCCTGAAATCGGAGGTACAGGCAGTTGTGAGCTGACATGCGGGTGCTGGGAACTGAACTCAGGAGAGTAGCCAGTGCTTCTGCCCCTAAGTTAACTCTTGTGGTTGAATCTGAAATGGCCCCCCAGTCTCATTTTGAAAACGTGTTCCCTGGCTGGTGGCACTGTTCTGTGGGGCTGTGAAACCTTTAGAAGCTGGAATGCAGCTCGTTGGAACTGGGGAACTGTTGGAACTGATCCTGATTCCTAATCCCCACTTTGTGATGTCCTATGGTGTGAATGCTGCCCTGCCTGTCCTAGTTATCACAGACGGAATCCTCTGGAACTGGGAGTTCAACATTTCCTTCCTGGGCTTGTTCTGTCAGGGATTCTCCCACAGCGACACAAAGGGAACAGGACTCGGTTTAAATACTTCAGGATGAAGTCAGGACTCATTGTGCGATATTTCAGCTCCACTTAAGCACCCAGTTACAGCAGGAAATGAATGGGGACTCCAGGGGACCCAGGGGCGGCAGAGCCTCCCTTCAGGCCCATGTGCTCTGTGAGCTGCACAGGGGTAGGCATAGCTCACCTCTTACAGCTTCCTCCAAGGGCCCTTCCGCAGCAGGCCTGGAATACACAGTCAGGCACTGGTCAGCCAGGAGCTGGATCTCCCTCACAGATGAGTAAGCGCTTGTCAGCACACCACTGTCCCTGGAAAGACAAGAAGGATTCACTTTGTGCAGTCTCTCCGGGAAGACAGCGTGAACAGCGCTGAGTTCAAAGGTTTTTCTAAATTGTGTTCTAAAAAATGTATTGGTGGGGCTGGAGAGATGGCCTGGAGGTTAAGAGCACTGGCTGCTCTTGCAGAGGTCTTGAGCTCACCCGGTAACCACAAGGTGGCTCACAACCGTCTACAATGAGATCTGGTGCCCTCTTCTGGCACACAGGTATACATGCAGGCACAACACTGCATATATAATAAGTAAATAACTTACTTGTTTATATGTATGAGTGTTTTCCTGCATGTGTGTATGTGTACCACACAGATGCAGTCCCTGCAGAGATTAGAAGAGGACATCAGATCCTATGAAACTGGAGTTAGATCGGATTGTGAGCCGCCATGTGACTGCTGGGAAATGAACCCAGGTCCTCCACAAGAGCAGCCAGGGTTCTTAGCCACTGAGCTCTGTTCTGTCTCCCCAGCTCTTCAAAGGCTTTCCTATTAGTCAAGATCTGAAAAACCCTGACAGAGCCTCAGCTATAAATTACTTAAATAGAACAAAGAGGTATTCAGGCCTTTTAATGATTCTTCAAGGGTCTTTTTTGGTTTCTCTTTGCTTGCAGGACTCCTAAGTTTGAGTAAGGAAGTCATCACTTGGCATGTCATATTTTGAATCAGCGAGCTTAAGGACTGCCTACTAACTGGTTTTAAATGCTCCACAGCCCTCCACCTCTGCCAGAGGATTCTAGACTCCATCCTTCCCCTGCTGGACAAGCAGTCTCAAAGCTCTATTTTAAAGTTCTCAGGGGTAACAAGGACCACAGCTGGGAATATTCTATGTGTGTTTTGCGGTAATGAAATGATTAGTATGGGCAGTGGGAGACACTCGCAGATCCTTAACCTGGGCTCTCATTGTGCTTTCAGTTCCTGTCCATGCATCCGGCGCAAACAAGGAAGGAAGAAAACACAGTCTAAGGATTCCCACAGTCCTGGCCGTACCTCTGTGGTGTGGCTGCACGTGGAACAAACAGCTCGATGGGCACTTGTCTCTTCGAGAACCTTTTATTGCTCTGGAGGGATTCTGTAATCTAAACAAGGACAAAGATGCACATAGAAAACCAGACTTACCAACACATGCATTTGCAGTTACAAAAAGAAAATTAAACATTGGGGCATGGAAGCATCGCTGAGTGGGACTTTAGAAATTGAATACCTGGGCCATGATGGCCGGAGAGAGATTCTCCCGGACATACTTCATATAATCAACGGTCGCTTCAATAACTGAAGCCACATCGCTCTTCCTCCCCTTGACATACGGCAGGAGAGTACGCAGCTGCTCGCAGCAAAACTTGATGCGCTCTCTGTTCCAACGATTGTGAGGAAATAAGAAGCATTAGTCTCACTTTCTTCTTTGTTCACAAGGATAAACAACTCTTCTCCCCGGGTTTTTGTGAAAATGGACTGTTCCCATCTTCATCTGGTCCCTGTTTCAGGGGAAGGCCATGTCCCCACAGGGCAGCAGCCCTCACAGCTCCTGAAATCACAACCTCTAGGGTCCCCACTCACATGCTGCACAAGATGAACATCTGCCAAAGTACAGAGTCTGTGCCATGGCAGCCCCAGCTTCCTCGACCAGACCCCCAGCTGTGGTGCCCTGGGTGCCCAGACAGTGCAAAGCACACCCCTCCCAGCCCCCCTGAAGATCTGTAGAATCCTTGCGGGGGGGTGGGGGGATCACAGGCTATACAGACATCCTTCTTCAGTTCACACTAGAAGCCTAGCAGGCCAGGAAGAGTCAGGATCTGGGTTTGGACCATAACAAGAGATCATTTGGTGTCTTGTGACATGTGAGTTTCACACGCACTGTGGCCTGAGCTGAGGGAAAACAAGAAGACAGCTTTCTAAGCAGATGAGCTAAAGTGCAAAAGACACTGGCCAGGCTAGCATCCAAAAGGAGATGTACGAGGAAAATAGATCTAATTGAATTAACCCAAGCCCTTGCCATTTTCCCCCAAGTACTCGTTTTTATCCAATTATGGCCTTGACATGTGCAGAGCGACTAGCTGAAACCTTAGGCAAGTCCCTAAATTTCTCTTAATTTCAGAATAGAAGAAAAATTAAACAAAAATAAAAAAATCTTGCTTGACATATAAATAGTCAGGGGTTGAAAATAAGTTGGTAAGTGGTAATTTTTTTGTTTTTGTTTTTCGAGACAGGGTTTCTCTGTGTAGCTTTGGAGCCTGTCCTGGAGCCCAGGCTGGCCTTGAACTCACAGAGATTCGCCTGCCTCTGCCTTCTGAGTGCTGGGATTAAAGGCCTGCATCACCACCACACAGTGGTAAGTGGTATTTTTATAGGGCTTCAGGAGCTCTGGGGCTCAGCAGAGATGTCTCAGGAACCGTTTTGGTGGGGTGGGAAGGAGTCAATAACCGGACGCTATTATTGGGAGGCTCTCCACAGAGAACTTTCACTTACAAAAGAACTAAAGATAAAACACACAGCAAAGTTTCCATGTGCAAAGCAGCCTCTCGGGAAAATATGAAAAGTGGCCTAAACATGTTAAACAGGAGGACGCCTTAAGCAAATTGCAATGTTACAAGCCTCAAGAAAGCGGTGGGGGGGGGGGATATGTAATCCTAGCCATTAAATAAAGCAAGAAACAAAGACATTAAGCCATCCATCATTATCTACAGATGACAGAACTGTGCACAGCAATTCTCCTCTTCTGGAGTTTTGCTAGATACATGTCACTTCCATAACGAACAATGCCATTACACCTTGCTTCACCGTGTATTAAGAAAACATCTCAATGCACAGGAAACGGAAGAATTACAGACGAGTATCTCTATTCCCGCCACTTAGAATTTTACTATTCTCCAATCACACTGTGGCACTGGTGCCTACTCGGCCGTTTGGTCACTCTGGGGACCAAACAGCTGAAAGGGTGACACATATTTAGTGGCCATGTTTACCAGTTTCATCTAGACTTTTGGCAATGTTAAAGTGATGAAACTTGTGGGCGTGATCCCTCTGTGTCAAGGAATAACCAGGAAATGTAATTAATATCATGAGTGTAATTAATATCTTGAATGTAATTCATGCCACTGAATTGTGAACTTAAAAATGGTTGCAACTGCAAATATTATGTTCATTTAAAAAAATAAGGTGGAATGTAATCACCATACATTATATGTGTGTATGAAATTGAAGACAGCGATGTTCTAAAATAGAAAGCAGTGATGGTGTCATGGGCCTATGAGAATACTGGACTAAAGTCTATCAAATTGTGCAAACAAGGCAAATTGTATACTATGTGAATTATTTGTCAATAAAGATTTTATAAAACAAAACAAAACAAAAAAAAAAAAACCAAAACACCAGGAAACCAAAGCCTGCATTGATACTCACCTCCTCAGCTTCTCTTTGCTCGAATGAACAAAAGAAGTCTTTCTGTTTCTCTCAGGACCCGGCAGTGGGGCCTTTAATACAAGTTCTCTGTCATTTTTCAGCTGCCCAGAACTAGAAGCAAGTGAAAATCATGCCACATATTAAAGAGGAAAATCATCAGGCAATTGTCAACAATGAACGCCAATTCAGTAACCAGATGGAGACTACGTCTCCTGCTTCATACAAACCAGAAGGGCAGGGGGCAGGGAAATACATTAAATCTCTGTACCTGACACATTTAGTACTGAATCTTTCCTTTCAGATTTCAAAATATCTGACCATTCAAAATCCAACGGTCAAAATTCTAAAATACACTGATTAAGTATAACATATAATCAGGATTAAGACATATCGATTATGGCTATTCCAAGCTACAAGCAGTCACCCACTGACAGTGTTTTTTTGTTTGTTTGTTTTTTTAACTTCATGCTGCCGTAAAAGCATTGCAACATCAGTCTATTTCTCACAACCTGCTATAAATCAGACTGAGTTACATGGCTCTCGCCCAACTGCAGGCTAAAGTTAAGTGTGCTGAGAATGTTACAGGGCAAGCTACGATGTCAGTCAGATTGGATGCAGTTTTTACTTACAATACTTTGTACTGGGTCTTACAGTCCCTCTGTAAATCAAAGAACATGACTGTATCTACCCTTAAGATATTAAGGCACATGGAGCTAGAGAGATGGTTCAGTGATTAGGAGCACTGGATGTTGTAGCAAAGGACACAGGTTCCATTTCCAGCACCCATGCGGTGGTCCAGAACCATCTGTAACTCCAGTTCCGAGGTATCTGATGCCCTCTTCTGGCCTCTGAGGGCACTACATGCCTGTGGTACAGACATGGTGCAGCAAATAGATACACATGAAATAAAAATTTCACTACAGAGAAAAGAACAGAGCAACTTTACAAGTCCTACGCCAGCGTTATCAGCAAAGTCAGTTTCTCTTCTAAATTTTCTCATTTAATGGACGTTGTTCTGACTCTACTGTCTAGATTCTAGAAATTCCTGGTTTTGCACGATGTTATTAATGTTTATGTGTATGACATGTAACACATGTGTGCCTGGGGCCCACAGATGCCAGAGGAGGGAATAAGACCTCGGGAACTAGAGTCAGAGACAGTTGTGAGCTACCATGTGGGTGCAGGGAATGAACCACTCTAGAAAAGTGGCCAGTGCTCTTAACAGCTGAGCCATCTCTATAGGCCCCCTTCACACTGTTTTTTAGAAATTGAAAAATAACCCCACTTTGTGGGGGGATAGGGAAATTGAGAGAGGGAGAGGGAGAAGGAAAGAGAGACAGACAGAGAGAGACAGAGACAGAGAGACAGAAAGAATGCATGCATGTAGAGGCCAGAGATCACCTTGGTGTCTTTCCTCAGGTGCTGTTCACCACAGATTTGGAGGCAGGGTCCCTCACTGTCCTGAAGCTCACCAGGCTAGGTGCCTCCCATTTCCACCTCCCCAGCGCTGGGATTCAAAGTTCCCACGCCTCAAAGCTTGTATTTGAATTCTGGGTCTGCAGCTCAAGTGCCCATGCTTGCCAACGAGTACTTCACTGACTGAGTTACCTCCCTAGCCCTATAATCATATTTTCTTTATCCAAAAGGGTGAAACTTGCCTGGAAATTTTACTATTATTAACAGTGGTTAAGATTAGGATGGAGGATAAAGAAAAATTCAAAATTAGTAGGCACTGAAAAATACTTTCATGGGACATAGGCAGATCATGAAGCCTCACAACACCCTTCCCCACCTCATGCCCCACAACAGGGGGTCACCTTTCTATAAAGCTCTTAGAGGCTCAGCAGCTAAATAAGATTCACCAACTGTTGTTATCCATACACCACTTCAGTGAGATCATCTTGGGTTTGCCACACTGAACTGGCTGCCAAGTCCCTTCCTTGTTCCCAATGTCGATGGCTGCATTCTCTACACATTCCAGAAGTGCCGGACTCGGAATTTTCATCAGCATCAGCATCCATGGGCTACAGCGAATACCCAATGGGCTACTTGTCTATTCTGGGAAGCGCTAAGCTCTATTAAAAACCTCGTTGGTGTAAAAAGTGTGGGGGGGGGGAGGCAACATTCACAAAAAGCCGGTTTTTACCAAACATGCAGAGCTTAGTAAACTAGGTAGAGTCTGGTAAGTAAGTAACATAGGAAGAGTCTGACCCCAAGTTCAACTGCCTGTGGGGGGTGGGTTTGAATGGCAGTTCTAACACTCAGAAGAGAGACAGGCAGACACTGAGGCGGCCTGTCCAAACTCCCCCGTACAGACACTGAGAGCTTCCTTCATAGGACATAGAACATACTCTCCCAATCGCAGGCGTTCAATAGCTGAAGCGCTGAGTTTGTGAGTTCAAAACAGACAACAGGGAGAAAGTGCTGTAGACAGACTAGGTAAGGCTGTGCTTGTCTGTTCAAATATTGGAGTTTCAAACTTGTGTTTGGGGGAAAAAAGGAGTCTGCTGTTATTTTATTTGAATATCAGTGTGTTTTCTTTCACTGAGTTGGATCCTCTTGTGAGGTGTACCATGATCTCAACTCTAGAATCTGAAACAGGAGAATGCTTCCTGTCTCCCAGGAAAGAATCCGCCCGCCCCCCTTCTGCATCACTCTCAGCACCAGGGCCGTCAGTGTCCTATCGTGAAGTTCTTTAAGGAAATGTACACACGGTAAACATCTGTAATATGGGAAAGTAGGAGAAAAATAAAATGAAGCTAACCGAAGAAACAGATCAGTAGAAAAGTGTTCCCCAAGTTCACTGCAGGAAGTCTGGAGGTGCAGACTATGTTCTGGAAGCCTCTCAGCGCTTTCCGCATTTGCTGGAAGTTTGAGGTGTAGTCCGCATTCTGGAAGCCTCTCAGTGCCTTCCACATCTGTTGGAAGTTTGGAAAGCGGATCATTTTAATCCTAAAATCACTACCAATGATTTTTTACAGAGCAGGCTTTTTAAAACAGAAAGCAAATGATAGATTTCAGTCCAGGAAGCATGAAACCACTCCAATTAGAAAGTACCATGGAAAGGCTACAGACATGGCACCCCAGCACATCCTCTTTTCAGTTAGAACCTCTTCACTTAGTGACATATTTTATAAAGCACCTCCAACCGAGTCGATGTATCACCTTCCTATTTATAAAGAAATGTCAAGCAACTGCACTGTCAAGATACAGCCTCAAGGGAAAAAGAATCTGCAGCTGTCAGTCCTTGGAGCAATGATAAAACCACCAGAGAAAGACTGTGGCCCATCAAAGGTGCTGGGCCAGTGATGAGCAGCTGCTGTTTGCACTGAGGACCGGGAACAGATTGCAAAGGGACCGTGACCACATGCCTAGTCAGACCCAGGAAGATCTCTGAAGCCAGAGGGTTAGGATTTGCAGGTGGGGAGGGGAGGTTAGAAGGGGATGGGATTGAGGGAGGCGGAAAGGGGCTACAAATTGAACTCACTACACTGACCACTGAAAATTAACGCTATAAAAAGGTAGACATATTGACTCTAGAATGTGACCTTATATATAATAACCCTCAGTGTGTTTCAAAAAAAAATACTAACTTTAAGTTTCCAGCTGTACAGAGATGTGACTGTAAGTGTGTGTGTGTGTGTGTGTGTGTGTGTGTGTGCATATTAGCAGTATGTAGAGTTGATAAACATATACATTGTAAACACAGCACAATCAAGTTAGTGTATTCATCAACTTACATAATTATTTTCTTGTGCATGTGTTGAAAACATTTAAAACGGATACTCTCAGCAAGTTTCAAGTACTCTACACAGTATTGTTAACACAGCCATCAAACCATATCTTAGGTCTTCAGAGTTTACTTATATGATGTAGCAAAAACTCTTCACCCCTTAACCAATGCTCTCTATCTGATAACAACTTAATTTTGAATGATTTCTCAGCTAGTGTCCCAGCCTACAGCAAGCAAAAATAGTTACTGAAACACATTAATTCCAGGACTTGGAGGCTGTCTGCTGTCCTTTTAGGATAAGCTGATTTAATTAGTGCTCAAGTGTTGCAATACACAATACAATAGGTAAGGGATTACAAAGGAGAGGTCTACTTGAGGCATTGACATTAATGCTTTGATCTAAAACTAACCAAGGCAAAGAATGACCCTGTATTCATTTCAAGAGGTAAATAATTACACAAGTGTTTGGCAAAGGAGTTACTACGAAATTCCAGGTTAATGCTCCTGTTTTTGAACATCCCTGAAATGAAGTAACCTAGTTAATTATATTTTAATAACCAAGATATGGCAGCACCCAGGTTACCAAATGAAAAGAAACATAGTAACATTCTCGAACAAAAACAAAAACCAACAGAACCTTCATCACACAGCTATCATGAAACTCATTTGAAATTTCTGAACATTTCAGCTTCTCTTGCAGATAAAGGAAAGATTTTTTCTCCTTATTTACACTTATTTCCTGACTATGATTGAAAAACATACTCATAAAATACATGGCAAATTGTTAATCCACAAATAAAGGGCACAAAACAAATTTAAAGACGTGCAAACATTTTTATAGAATTTTAATAAGAATTTCTTAAACCTTTGCAAGTATATTTGTAACTCACCCATACCTGTGAAATATGCTTTCCAGTACTCTACCACCATGTCCATTTTTCCCAAGGTCAGTGGCTCAGGGAAACTAATATCCACTCCATAGTCTGAAATACAGCCTAAAGAAATGGAGTTAACACCAACCTTGTAATTCCTGTTTGAAAACGAAACACATGCTACAGCAGGAAGTCACATACATACCTTTAAATTTTTCAGGTTTTATAAAAACAAACAGCAAACGGGTGTTTTTCTTCTTGCCAGATCTGGGGGGAAAGTGTTACAATGAAACAAAATCATCATTCAAAGAAAATTAGACTCAAGAGTTTAACTCCCTAGAAGCTAAACTATAGACGCCTTTAACTTGGAGAATTCACAATGATGGGAAAAAATTTTAACTCAGCATCTCAAATCAATGAGGAGTGGTGTGATGGACTGCTCTTTCTTAACTAAAGAAAATAATCTGAACCTTCTCCGTATTTTCAAATTTCTCATTAGTTTAAAAAAGGTTTTTTTTTTAAAAAAGACATTTCAAGACCACTATAAGAATAAAATCAGGGCTGGAGAGATGGCTCAGTGGTTAAGAAAATTGACTGTTCTTCTAGAGGACCTGGGTTCAATTCCCAGCACCCACATGGCAGCTCACAACTGTCTGTAACTCAAGTTCGAGGGCACCCAACACCCATGGCAAAACACTAATCAAAATTAAATAATTTTTTAAAAAAGAAGAAAATCAGCAAAATCCAGATTGGGGAAAGTTGCATAAAACTAAAAAAAAAAATACATATTTGTGTGTTTGAAAAAAGATACATATATATAATTTATGACCAAAAAAACCCAAAGAATACAAGGAAGAGAAAATTGAAACTTGACTTTTTATCAGCATGTTTTTTTAAGAATAATAAGCAGAAAACACTGAACATTGATTAGATATTTCAACATTAAAGAATTATTAATTTAGCCAGGTGGTGGTGGCACCTGCCTTTAATCCCAGCACTCAGGAGGCCAAGGCAGGCAGAGCTCTGTGAGTTTGAGGCCAGTCAGGTTAACAGAATGAGTTCCAGGACAGCCAAGACTACACAGAGAAACCCTGTCTTGAAAAACCAAAAAAGAATTATGAATTTATAAATGTATAGATGTGTTATTGGTACTGTGGCTTTTACTGAGTCCAATCTTAGACAAGTATTTACTAAAATACCGAAAGGATGAACTAAACAATGTCAGGTTTGCTGTAAAGTCCACCTGCAGCAGAGCTTTCTGGAAGAGGGAAGGTGTCACACCAAGAACAATCAAAACCGCCCTGAGAACTTGGGAGTTCACTGGTCTAGTCTTTCAGACTCATGTGTACAGTATGACAGCTAAGCAAAAGCTGATTCTTCAGCTCACAAGCTTGGATTATCCAGGAAGCGGGAGCCTCAACTGAGAACATGCATCCATTAGACTGGCCTGAGGGCAAGACTGTAGGGCATTTTCTTGATTAATGATAGATGTGGGAGGGCCCAGCCCACTGTGGCTGATGCCACCCCCTGGACAGGTGGTCCTGGGTAGAATAAAAAAGCAGCCAGGCAGTGGTGGTGCACGCCTTTCATCCCAGCACTTGGGAGGCAGGCGGATCTCTGTGAGTTCGAGGCCAGCCTGGGGTACCAAGTGAGCTCCAGGAAAGGCGCAAAGCTACACAGAGAAACCCTGTCTCGAAAAA